CTCCACGTAGTGCACCCTGGGCAGCGTATACTCATACGGCGAAAAGTCTATAAACCGGACTTCGAAGTTGACTTCTCACCTCGAACTATCATGAACCAACTGTATGTCATACTCGACCCCTTCCACAGTACTCATCTTGCTTTTTCTCTGCCTTCAAGTCCGTCTGTGTCCTTTATATCTTTGGATCACTCCATTGTTCCCCCTCTCGACTTTGCTGCTTCCCCTCCTCTCTGTGAAGCCCGAAGTCAGCTAAAGGGCTAATGATAATAATCAAGACGCCTGCTATTTGAAATAAATAAATAAATAAGATTGTGCCTAGTGCCCCATCAGAATTAACTCTTCACTGACACTGAAGAGTTGCGTTTCTCGGTATGGTCTCACAACTAATTCATATTCATTTGACTGCCGAATGCGCGCATCTCAAACTGCGCACTTTATGAAGAAAAAAATAGTAATTGCACTTTAAATAAAGTATTCATGACAAGTTGGAAATAAACTCTGTTTTGCTCATTACGTAAAAAAAATAAAATTGCAATTACAAAATGAAATAGGGCGAAATTACTTCTCGCTAAAAGTGTCCTTTTATCATTGCCCGGAGAGCTCAGACAATTTCATTTTTTAAAATATTCACCCCATTTCGAGAAAATTAATGGATCGCTAGGTTTTTATTTCTAATTTAGATTGTTTATTATCCAAATTTTCCCCTACTGATTCTTATCAATTTGGAAAAATTCAATTTGTGTGACCTTTCTTAGCTACATGGGAGGTCACTGATTAACTTGCCTATTAACGCTAGACCATGAGATTTAGTTACCCACATAATCATTCTTCAAAATTAAGTCCTTTTGGTCAAAAATTATGGCCAATTTGAGCTTAAATAGGTGCTTGCAGTCGCTGCGATTTGCACTCTCTTATGCTAAGGTATTCGATAAATCAATAGAATTGAATTATTGGATAAAATGAAATGATGGACGATTTCTCACCTGTTGAATATCAATAGAAAGAACCTCATATGGTGTGCACATTAGTGAAGGTTGGCATATTTAGAATGCCTTTGCAAGTCTATCCAAATCAACTAAACAAAGTACTCTGAATTTCATGGAAACGAACCACTGTGACGAAGTGAAAAACTCAATGCAACGAAAATTAACATTGTGTGTGAACTCTTGAAAGTGGAATCCCTATCAAACTCCAATTTCACTCCCTTATTAACTACTTGGTCTTCTTCGCATAACTAAAGGCGTACAAGTCCTCTGTGCTTTGCGAAGGATGATGATAAAATTGGAAAGGCGAAAACCCTGATTTTAATTGTTAAATGAAATTAGGTGGGGGGTGGGGGGTGGGGGGTGGGTGGATTGATAACATAGAATAGAAAGTATTGGCTTTCTATTCTTTCATAGTTTTGGAGTTCGAGGATTCAGATCAGTATGTCTTCAGGTAACCTGTTTTACTAGACTCGGATGATTCCAAAAATTTTTACTGAGAAGGTTTCAGGTATAAATCGCACTGAAGGTCACCTATGAAAAGTCAATTTTTCAAACCACTTCTTAACATTTTCTCCCATTCTTGATATTCAAAATTTGTATTGGTTCTTTTGGAATTAGTGAATCCCCTAAATTTCTCATTCTCAGCCACTTCTACCGAGTAAAACCAGCTGATTTCATGGCATCATGATCTACTGTTCTAATTCCTCATAAGAAATGTCAAAAAATTTCCGATTTTGTGCACATAAATTTAGAAGAAAAAAGATTAGCTAACTGCATGATTAAGCATATTTGCATGGATTATTATAATTTCTCCTTCACCTCTTTTTGCCAAATAATTGTGCAGGTTTTATTATAAAAAAGCATCTGTAAGCATTTTTTTCTCCGCTAAGATTTTTTTTTTGCGAATATTTTTCTAGGAAAAACAGGCTGCACATTGGCTTTATTAATCTCCCAATAAATGTTTTACTTCTGCTTTCTATGGTTAGATTTAAGAGATAAGCAAGAAGCAAGCGTGGGGCAATTGGGGAGATGGAATGCAAACGTCTGTGGAATTGATGAACCCGTATTCGTGATGCATGTATATTCTGAAGCTTGTGTTCATTTGATTAATGGGGCAAATTTATTTGAACTTCAAAATTGGAAAAATCGGTTGGCCCAGACATTTTTGCTACAAAATTTGAATTAAAATAAATAGCATTTGTGCCAGAGCAAAATGTGATGTTGAAATATTTCTTATGAGATGCATAATTAATTTTTCTTTTCCCATAATCTCAACAAGTTCTCGAATTTTTCATATTTGAGTGCGAAAAACTCAGTTCGAGCATAACTTGGCTAACTATTCGCGTTCAAGTTGGTTGGAAGAAAATCAGCTGATTTATTGCTTTGATATTTGAGAAAGGCGTACTTTTTGCAAATAGTCTCCCTCTTTCATAGTCCACCTCAAGGTCAAATGCGTAAGGAACAACAAGGATAAAGTGATTACACAGAATTTGTATTCAGCTGATGGGTCTATGTTTAAATTCCTGTTTCTATTGCTACAATGACTGACAATTTCTTTGATTTAAACTCTATTCTAATCAATAGTTTCCTTTATCTTGCCAAGGGTTTTTTAATGGATTCGCTCGTAACATTTGAAGAAGAGAGGGAGTAGAGGGGGGGATCGGAAGGTATTCCAGGGGTTATCTAATAGAAATCTAGCAGCGAACCCGCATCTTGTCACTCGAACCATTGGATGTGTCTTGATGGGCAATAACCTCATGACCTCTAATGCGGAAGACAGGCATTTTGACCAAAAAATGTTGCTGGAACCGCCCCTGTTTTGTAAATTTTTCTTGCTATTTGGCATTTTGCATATTTACTACATAAGCACGCTTATTTATTTTTTAAGAAGATGACCCGTTTCTACTTAATCGGCAACTACACGGGAAATCAAATAACTAGTTGATAGTTTTAATAATTTACCAATCTAATTTACTTATTAGATTAATTAAATAGACTAGAAAAGTATGTGGATTTAGAGAAGGCTTACTCGAACCATTGGAGAAATCATTGGTCAGATTTGTACTCACCTTCTTACTTTAAACTCCCTTGGTGTGCATGGCATAAAATCGTAATTTCTATATTGTTTGCACTTAAATGGAATTCATCACAGTAAAGGTCCTTTCCACTTTAATCTCACGGATTTAGTTCCCCCGTGATTTTGGTTGAATACAATCGGTGTATTTGTACAGAAATTAAATGCACAAAATTAAAGAAAAACAACGTCATTTGAAAAGGGAGCGGGGGGAGGAGAATATTCGGTCGGGGAGGAGGCATACTCGATTTTTTCTACAGCAATTCGAAATAGATAATCATTTGCAAAATTTTAAGATAGGTGATAGCTAAGTTGACATATTCGATGAGGTTGAATAGAGATCGCTGTAGACATTCTGAGTGACAGGGAGAAAGGGTCTAAAATTCTTCTTATTTGTTCCTAAATGACGAGGTATTATAAAAATAGGAGAGAGAGAGAGCGAGCGAGCGAGAGCGAGAGAGTACACGAAAACAGTGAACCAATAAATATGTCCAGAGCATTAGCGATTGAGAGTTGGGGAGAGAGAGGGTTAGCTGATTGGAAGGATGATGTATGAGTGGCCCAATTAAAACAAGAGAGAAATAAATCGATAAATCAAGTGAGAATGAAGGAGTTGGGTTGTCGTCTACATGTGCAGGCCCGCTGAGGTACGCTAATCATGCGGAAGATTCCTTGACAGTCAAAAGTATTCAAGGCCCTCCAGCGGGATGTCATTCCGGGATAACCAGTCCCTGGACAATGGTTGCCTAATTCTGGACGCATGTATTTGGGATAACAGGTGGCACAAATTTGTTGACCAGGTCGCAGAAGCACAGTTGACAACCAAGGATGATCGGTATCATAGTTGCGATCGAAGAAACTTCCAAGTTTGCCCCATAATCTACTTTGCCGGTGTTCTGGAGGTGTACTGATGGCTTTGCATGCCTCATTTGATTTTATTATTTCGTAATGAACACAATATCTGCAATATGAAATAAGGTATAGACGAATGTTAGATTATTTTTGCATAATTTATATATTACAAAATAAAACCAAGTCAAATAATTTTAGCAATTATGAAAATAAATTAAATTTACAATTTACAAGGAAAATCATCGAAATTTTTTAAGAAATGAATAATATTTTAATAATTACGTAATTGAATTCAAATTTTGCCCCCTGCTCATGATTTATATACCTTACAAAAGATTTTCAATAATTTGATAATTATTCCCTAACGAAGTTACGTAAACGAAATCTAATTTTATGTACAGCTATTTAATTTCCGTTTCCAATGTGGCTACAGTTGTCCCTAATTAGTCCAAATGCAATAATTGTTAAATGTTGGCAACATTTAAATGCAAAGTACATTAAAAAGTTCACTATTTGCCGTGTTAAAAGAATAAAGAAATATTTTTTGGAGTAGGGGAGGTGTTTAAAAGTACAACAATTTCACTTTCATGTCCTTAATTTTATTTAACCGCCATAGGACAATCTTTTAAATGCACAGATTTACAAACAATAAGGCAAAAATATGTGGTTTAAATTCAAATTCGCTTATTTAGTACTCATTAAATATTGAACGGTAAAAATTTGTCACTTACGGCTCTGGGTCTGGAATATCAGTCTTATTCTGTTGAATTAGACGTCCGTAGTAGAGTTTTCGACGAATATCCCACCTCATATCAAACTGTTTAATCTTTTCCTCCATATCGCCATCGACAGGCAACAAATTTGCAACCTCTAAATAAAATAAGATGATATTACTTGGAAGATTTCATAATTATATGAAAATAGGACTAGTGTTGAATAATACCTGAAGAAAGCTCCATATTACGGTAGGCATTGTAGTCAGACCTTCCAACCCTTCTTCTGTTGCACATGTACCCCGTGCAAGCCCTAGATTCCATCAGGATTGGACATTGTTCACCACCATTTTGGGATTCTTTAACAACAATCCTAGTTCTTGTCTGATTCCCCTTTCCGCATAATCTGCTACATGAGGACCAACGGCTCCAGCCACTCACTTCACAATTTATTTCTAACAAGTCGATGCGGTTAGCTGTTAAGAATATAAACCTACTCGGCTTTGAGCACACTTCTCGGTAATCAGGACAGCAGTCATTAGTTCGAACGCAGTATTCGTCACAGAAGCACTTTGCTTTTTGAATAAGCGGTTTTCTAGGGTTTTTTAATTTGTATCCACGATTTGTGTAAGTATAATAAACATGAGTAACACGAGATAAGCCTTCGCAATTAGTTCTTCCAGTGCAACATATAGGTGCTCCATCGGGATTTCGACATGATCCACTAGAGTGAGTTTCAGTAATAAAGGCAGTAAGCAGGAGAAGCACTGAAACCAGTGCTGTCGTTTTATTGAGGCTTGTTAGCATCTGAGAGAGAGTTATAAAGGCCAAAATTATGAAACCGGTGACCTGTAACACCGGCTTTTATACCGGAGTAAAGCTGGTGCCTAGGAGCGCGTTGATTGGTTAGGTGCGGAAGCGCGAAGTTTGAATTTAGAGACCGGCCTGGCCAATTGCAGATAGCGAGGGGTAAACGTGTGTGTGTGTGAATTCTGGGCTAAATCAAGGGTAGTTTGGTTACGCTTCATTTTCATCTACCGCAGAATGCAATTAATATAACCTGATTCATGACGATTTCCTTAATTGAATATAGATTCCTATTTACATTTCCTTTTTTGTGTCCATTGCATTAGTGAGAGGATATATAAAAAAGATACCCCCCATTGTGGCGAAAATTTCTTTAGAAGGGGTTTGGACTAAAGGTTGAAATTAGACAGTGAGGTTAAAGGGAAGTAAAAAGTTAACTATCGGCGAAGCATAAACAATGATTTGCAATTAGTACAGTTTAACCTCTTGCAGCATGATATGTATAACTGCTTTCACAATCGAACCAGTATGAATTGGACTATGAGAAATGGAATTATAAAAGTACAGACCACTAAATTCCATCGCTCGCAAAAAAACGAGGCGACATCGTCACTAGACACAAAAATCTGTGATTTAACTGAGCGTAACGCTCTCAGGTACTCATGGTAGAAAGCTTTGAAGTGTAAAATTTCATTAATCACAATTCAGTTAGCTTCAAGATTAAAATCCTTTTAAGTGTCCTTCTTCTTTAGTTATTATTACATTAAATACAACAACAGTGAGTTTTTTAATGTCCAAATTAATTTTTATTTTGTTAAAAACTTTGGATTTAGTGGGTTGGGTGATAAGTGACTACCTACTGGAAAAATGTTGAAAAAAATATTAAGTCACTGAATGAAAATTTGGATCAAATATCATTATAAAAAGTCCATGGTTGTGACAAAATGGCATGCCCAACTCCGAACCAAGAATTTTATACTGCAGCGCTAAGAAGGTAATGAAAATACTGGACGATAATATATGACCTCCTAACAGAAAACTATTAGCAAAAATCGGTAATAAATGAAATGTATATTTATTTATTTCAAATGGCAAGAGTTTTGACAGTTACCATTAGCCCTTTAGCTGACTTCGGGGCCTTACAGAGAGGCTTCAAGGTGACAAAAAGTTTAGAGGGGGGGGGGGACAGAATAATGATTTACAGATATAAAAGAGACAGACTGACTGACACAAAGGCAGAGAAAATGTAAGATGAGTACTGTGAAAAGGGTCATACAGTGGGGGTGAGTTTGAAGTGAGAAGTCAACTACCGGTTAATAGACTTTTGCGTTGCCTAGGGTGTACCACGTGGATGTAAGTCTATCGCACACCCCGATAAATGAAATGTGCAACGAATAATATTTTTTGAAATTTGCAGTTGACTGGTTGTTCTTGAGCAAATGGTGCTAAGATACGGCTGTTAGATGCCAGGGCATAGTTTCAAAACCTTTTCCTACAATTGCGTACAAATATGATTAGCTTTTAACAGATTTAGAGAGTGGAAAGTCGTTGTTACTTTAACTTTTATTGTTTTTTTTGAAATTGTATACTGCAGGATGATATTTCAGCGCTAGTAGTGTGGCGGCAATGTATACTTTTGAAATTCCAGGCAAAAATAATTGTATCAAGCACTTCCTGCACATATTCATTGATTGGAATGCTGTGAAGATGTGTCTTATGTCTCACTGTCTAAAAACGTGTTACCAACTGATCTATTGGAGAAGTTTTCCATCAAGCAATAACTTGATAAAATCGCACACACTATCAGTTTGAGGATTTACTCAAACATTTTAGCAATATCAGAATTAATTGAAAGATATCGTCTTCATTTAATTTCTACGAAGAGCGATTTAGAGCTAACAGAGTCAAGAAATTCATCTCGATGGTCATTGAATTGAATACCCCCTCCCCCTCCATATACAATTAATTATTCACAAACCCAAAGACGCTCTATCAAGAGTTCACTTAAGAGCCATGGAGAATATATTAAATGTAATTACCTGCAGTTTGTTGTCAAAATTTCTTTTAAATAAAAAAATCCAAGCTCTGAGTTCTACTTCCACTCATTGGATGAATATAGTTCTCGGAGTTAATCAGGAAGCTATTTTTTCAAGTTCCACTTATGGACAAGCATTTGGACGCACATCTTCTCTTGAAGGTCTTTCTCGAATGCTAGTGGAATGAGTTGCCACTATTATCAAATACCCAACCTGAATGCTTCATTGATTTCATATCCGAAATATTCGAGGTTCTTTGAGCATATGGTGGAACTGGAAGATTGTTCGTTTGACGTTGATTCTGCATATCTTACTCCTGATATATGTACATCGACAATGGTGTTTAAAGCATAGTAAAACTCTTTGTGACTTTTACTACATCTTTTAAGAAGTATTTTAGTGGGATGTGTAGTAACATTCGTTTCGGTTTTGGAAAAATTTAGGCTTCAATGCGCCCCCCCTCCCACCCCCCTCCAAGACAATCGATAAGGATTGACATTGCGAAAAAAGGTATTTACCCTAAGGCATCAAATTTGGCTATTAAAAACACTTATTAATAAAATGTACACACACACGCACCTGAGATAACATTACTAATTGATGTGAGCGCGAATGTGGGACGGCAAAGAAAAAAAGACGAATTTGGAATCGGATATTGGTACATGATTACTCGGTAGACGCAACTTAATCATTTCTGCTGTAGATATGTATTCTAGTGAAAAAAAAGTGAGGGATAACGACACCTTCTAGGGTAGTGTCACTGCGCCGCTTTGAACGGTGAATGCGAGAAAAAACGTCTTCCAGCATATGCAAATAACATCCACTGGTATAAGTGGTGTCGAGCTTTCCAACATAACCACTTAGCAAATATGCTCCCTTCGACAACCGATTGCGCTAGAATTGGTTTGTGCAAAGAGGGGCACCTTCGCGCTGAAAAACAGCATCAACTACTCGCACTATCAATGAAGAGCTATCTCATCAAAATGGGTACCAATTTGAAAACCCGTGCTCTGGACACTTAACTCTTTCAATTTCCTTTGGTAGCCCTCTCAGAAAATGCTACATTTTTGATCATGCTTATCAGGTTTAAATATTGTATTTGCGATACGGGGTGTGCGATAGACTTACCTCCACGTGGTGCACTCTGGACAACGTATACACATACGGCAAAAAGTCTATTAACCGGCAGTTGACTTTTGATTTCAAACTACCATGGCCCCACTCTATGTCATATTCCGTCACTTCCACAGTACCCACCTCAACTTTTTTCTACCTTTGTGTTTGTCTCTTTTACATCGTTGAAACGCTCTTCTGTTCCTCCCCCCCCCCATCCTCTTGACTTTTTTTCACTTTGATGTGCCTTCCCCTCTGTGAACCCAAAAGTCAACTAAAGGGCCAATTATAACTATCAAAACGCCTGCCATTTGAAATAACTAAATATCTTCGACACATCTATTGGTTAAGTGTAGTAGCCACATCACTATCTATTAATAATTAGATCTCTGCTGCATCTACCTATTTTGTTATTATTTCGAAGCGCAATCATTCGTTATCCGTGAATGGTGCATTTAAGGTTATGGAACGAATCCTTTTTCATGTTCCTCCTAATTGGTAGGAGAATGATAACGACAAGAAAGACGGTCCTTACCACAAATGTGCACATAACGCCGGTGTTAGTCCATTAACTAAGCCAGAAGTTTTGCAGATCAAAGAAGACGCTCTCAGACAACCATCATCTGCGTTTAGCAGGATGTGAACCAATTCATTACTGATAAGTTTCAACTGACGTCTTATTGATTAGTTCATGTTATTTGCTGTTTAATTTTTTCATAATAATAATAATAATTTTGGTTTCCTTCAGACGAAAAATATAACTCTATTTCCCCCTTAAATTAAGTAGAGCATAAAATAAACAGTAACCGAACATTTTCTAGCCCATTTTCAGCGACTAAGCGAATTTTGATTAGCCGAACATTTCATGGAAGGCAAATAGGAGCAAATATTCTCACTTATTTAAAAAATAATTTGAAAATATAACCAACCGTAAGTCGTCGTTAAACAACGCAGTTTGTGAAAGCTTATCGAATTCACAGCACATTTTGACAGGCATGAATATGCAAATTCAAAACATGTCAGATTCACCTATTTTGATGTTTGTAATGACGGGGTATGTCAACTTCTACTTAATATTTATTTAATATTTGTAGTTACTGTGGATTAGGCAAAAAATTCCATATAGCTTATAACCAAATACATCTTCATTCAGCGAATCTACAGACTTTTACCATTTTGAGACGGCATTATTTGAAAAAGGTTAATAAATAATTCCTAAACCTCAAATTTCATAATGAAGGCCTACTAGATATCCTATAAAAATTTATTTAATAAAATATGTAGAAAGAATATTTAATATTTTTGTTATGTTTTCTTAAATTATTTTTAAACACTTCTTTTGCTTCGATCTTTCTAACAGAAAAGCAAACAATATTAACCTTATATTTTAAACACATGTTAAACAATTTAAGGACAAAAGCAAACGTTTCATCAAATGAATAAATCCTGTTATAGAAATAGCCGGTGTTATGTCATTTAACTTCAACGCCCGATGAAATCAGGTAACCAAAATTCTGGTAGCTATCAACTAGGTCCTTGAATGAGCATTCTCGTAGGTCCATACCAAAGAAAGACTGTGGATCTCAAACACCTCGAATGCTGCTTCTTCACAGCCCATTCAACTTGGAAAATTTTGGCCAAAGCTTTTTTACGCACTAAGATGAATTCGGAAGTGGTGAGATTTGAAGAAAAAACAAGTACTTACATACAAAACTTGTCTTCTATAACGACATCGTAATATGCGATTTTGCTCACATGCCTCTTAAAAGTATTAAGACATGAAGCCTTTCAGGCAAAAAAGCTTCTAACTGTGAACGAGACAATGTGATAAAAAGACTTGCTTTCAATTCG